CATTTATTTTTATCTCAGGTAATGGGGCATTTTCAAAAGAGAGGGCAAAAAAGGTATTTTAAAAGTTTGTTTATATTTAAAGTATTATGTTAAGGTCTAATTTTCCACCCTCCGGATGAATAGAAATCTTTCTATGCACTTCCTAGAAAAGCCCTGTCACTTGAAAAGTAGATTTTTTGGGCCTTCCTTCCTTCCTTCCTTTCTCCCTTCCTCATTCCTCCCTTCCTTCCTTTCTTCCTTCTTTTTTTTTTGAAACAGGATATTGCTCTATGGTCCAGGCTGGAGTGCAGTGGTGTGATCACAGCTCACTGTAACTTTGAGCTCCTGGGCTCAAGTGATCCTACCACTTCAGCCTCATCAGTAGCTGGGACTACAGGTGTGTGCCATTGCACCTGGCTAATGTTTTTGTTTTTTTGTAAAGACTTGGTCTTGCTATATTTGCCAAGGCTGGTCTTCAACTCCTGGCCTCAAATGAGCCTCCTGCCTTGGCCTCCCAAAGTGCTGGGATGATAGATGTGAGCCACGATGCCAGGCCTGGAGATATATATATATTTGATAAACCAGTAGTATGGTTGGTTTTACAACAAAATGACAGAAGTGATTAGCAGGGGGTAGGAGGTATGGAGAAGACAGAGGTGTACACTCAAAATCAGACACAAGTGAAACATGAGATGAAATCACCTCCAAGGAAGCAGGTAAAGCTGTGAGCACAATTCACAGAAGTTTGAAAGTCCCATGTACCATGCTAAGAAGCTACTCAGGTCTCCCTGAGCGATTGCTATGGCATAGTAAGTAGCATTTTGTACTTACTGGAAGGAATCGGAGTACTTTGGAATTAGTTACACTGGACTGAAAGTGACATTTTGCCAAATCTGTACCTTTCTATTCATCCATCCCCCCCTATCTATTTATCTATCTATCCAGCATCTATTAATGAACTATTATCTTTCCCAGCAATACCGTCTGTTTAGAATCCTCTCCTTTGTGTATAAGCAGCTACCATGTTAGAAACCCATATGAAGGGCCTCAAAAGGAAGACACATGTTTTTATCCTAAACCAGATATAATGGATTGAATAGCATCCCCCCAAAAGATAGTTCCAACTCCGGTTATTTGTGAATGTGACCTCATTTGGAGATAGGGTCTTTGTCAGTAGATGTGATTAAGTTAAGGATGTTGGGATGATATTATCTTGGATTTAGGATGGGCTTTAAATCCAATGACTGGTGTCCTTATAAGAGAAAAGAGAGAGAGATTTGACAGAGAGACACAGGAGGAAGGCCATGTGGGGACATCCAGCAGAGGCCAGGGCAAAGCCACCACTTGGGTGACTCAGGGGAGGGTAGTACTGACCAGGGCCATGGAAGCATCCAGACAGGAGTGAGCAGGAGATAGGCACCCAGGCTTCCCTAGCCTCGAGCCCTGCTTCTAGAACCTCCCATTGTCTCCATCTCTTGGATTCTGTCTGGGACTACTCTAGAAGCTTTCAGAGGCCCAGATCCTCCACGGAGACACGGAACTTGCTTTTCAGTGGCTCTCTCAACAATGGGGGAGAGCAGGAATAGCCTGGCAGAATCACCAGGCTGTATCTGGGACCCCACGACTCTCACTGCTGTGTGTCACGTCCAGCACGGCCTCAAGGGCAGTTGTGTGCTTTGTCTGGTTCTGCAAACCTCCTGAGGACCTGGAGGGCTTTACATCTTTCTATTTGGTCACCAGGGTGGAGCACAGGACAGTATGTACTTCTGCTTATTCTTGGATTCTAATCCCCCCAAAAACAATGCCAGCCTCACTTTGAGATCGTATACTCTGCCCCTGGTTTCACATCTTGAATGGATCCCACCTAGAATGGCCTCTTACTTTCTCAAAAGAGACCCCGAGTTGGCTAATGTATCTATCATAAAACAGATTTTAGTACAACAAATTGTTCTGTAACTTTCATGCAATAGATGTGTTCTGTTTTCATAAAACCTAGTTAGATACTTAGAGTGACAGTCTACTAATTTGCTCAGAAAGCAAACAAATCTCCATCATTTCAAAATGTGGCCATGGGGCAGGGTTACTATAGGACAAAGGGTGATTAAAATAGGTTGAAAAATGTCTTTACTATTACTTAATAAACCAAACAGGAAGCACAATAGCTTTGAGGCCATGCATACTTATGGCACTTGAAACCCTGACTTCAGAGATGGGGCAGTTGTCTGTGATACACTCGTGTTTTGGGGAGGATGTACTGAAGCCCTACGTCACCGACTTCAAAGTTCTTCCTAGCCCAGACGACTTGAGACTTTAGCAAATCATTTCCTTAATGATTTTGGACTGAGGTCAGCTTCTGCCTCTCCTGTGTCTTTCCCACGGTGCCTTATGTGGACCAAACGATTAATAGCTAGTTGTTAAAGAACGACTGTGAAGAATGGTTACTTCTTTAGGGAGTAATACTTTTTCTGGGCCTCTAGACGTAAACATTGTCATTACCTTAATAACAAAAAAGGCATGACTCCCTGTAAGACTAGTATCAATCCAATTGTGTAAAATTAACGCTCAATCCTAATACTGAGTACTTGTGATTATTTATGTTAAATCAATTAGAGAGTAATGGATCAACTGTCAGCCACTGGACTGAAACACAATTATGTAGCGGCACTGAATGTTTATCATCTCAACGACCAATACAAAAGTTGAGAAAATTCAATTCAAATCTAGGTTCTTGAAATGTATAGTACTTCTGTGAAGCAATCTGAGTGACGATTCTAGCAAAGGAAGCTACAGGACAATGCGTAGCTAGGATGAAATGGAGAAACAGACAACTCCACGGAGGGGATGGCTGCATTGTTTCCTGAGAAATGGTCATCTAGGTGATATTCTGCAAGGAAGCCCAATTCTCCCACATCTAAATTGTAGGGCTTCCAAGGGAGGGAGTGCCTGGTCTATGAGTGAGAGCAGAAAGCTGGTCAGTAGTGAGGAAAAAAAAAAACAAACAAACCAGATTGCAGGAGAAATAACAGGACATGATACAGGTTGTCAAAACTTCAAGCCAAAGAATGCAGAACAAAGAAAATGCCAGAGAGGCAGGGAGGGTGGTGGGGGTGGGGTGGGAAGAAAGGGACCTTATATAGCTTTGCAGCAGGACAAGAAAGCTCAGCCCCTGGATGCCTGGTGAGGGCTGCACTGCAGGCTTCTGGGAAGGATGCAGCTCACATTGCTTGGGAAGAGAGGGGAGGACAGCGGCCCAGAACTCAGCTCGTCTGGCTGTGCAACTATCAACAGCCTCCTAGTGGGAAGACCTGGAAGCCAGACCCAAACTTACAGGTCTGCATTGTGCCTCTCAGACACTTGCCACAGACTTAATTTAACTATAATTTAATCATCATTGCTTCTTCAGCAGTTATTGCCAAATAAATCACTTCCTTGTTTGTTTCACACTACTCATCACAGATCTTAAAATAGACTTTGGTTGAGGCA